ATTGTACATAGAACAATATCAGACCTCTGAATAGTACAAGCATGCATATGTACTCAGTACTTGGTTTGGGCCCCTTTTGCAGCACTTACTGCAATTACTTTTGCACGATATTCTAATTATTTGAGTTTCACCTGTATATATATATAGTGCAATATAAATGGGTAAGCCGTATATATATAGTGGTGCCTTTGTGATCTATAGGAAAGGGGTGTGTGTTTAGATATTACATATATAAAACAAAGTCTGAACCATGTATTAACGAACCCCCCTCCCTCTATTCCTTTATTTTTAAGCAAACTATTCATTTTCTAAAAGCTGTTAATTTGTCAGCAAGATCTCAAGTGCAGCCAAAAGCATCCTCAATATTTTTTGTTTCAATGTTTACCATCAATATAAATGTTCCATGGCGCCATAGATATTGCTGGCAACGCCAGATAGGCAGATTTACTTAGTTATTTTTGTAGCTTCCAGTTAAACTCCCAACACATTTGATTTTATTTACAACCTCTTGCTGGATGCCTTTTGGTGGGTGCAGTAAACCAGTAGCTAAAATGATAATTCGTTTTTGATAAATGCTTCGCACATATTCCGAGGCCGGTGTAAGATAAGTCAAAAGGGGGGTCATACAAATCATATTTATAGAGGGGCTTGCATCTCTGTTTATTAAATAAACAGCAATTTTAATATCCTCTCTAGCACGTGCTTGTGTTATTGCGTAAGGGGGATATGGAATTGGGGGGGATTGTTAGAGCTAAAAGGCCCCCATCAGAGAAAGTGTTGCTCTATCAGAACAATGCAGAACAATGGATTGGTGTTATAGCTTATACATGTCCTATATGAAACAATACCACTGCCAGAGAGGGTTCAGCCCTGGGACTGCAGATACCTGTTGGGAACAAAGGCTCAAGTTCTGGGGGGGGTGCTGAAGGCTGCATGGAAAGCAAGCCATGCACAGCAAAAGTCCTGCCAGTGACTGGGGATCTGGCTGGAGGAAGACTGCCAAGTGGAACACTTTGTGTTATTATTGCTTTTGGCTCCATGTGAGTCAAATTCCTGAGTCCTCTGTAAACAGTTGGAAATGTTAGAGAAAGTTAGAACGGTACATATGAGGGGAATGTGCATGCAGCTGAGTCCCTAGGTTTACACAGAGAGGCCCCCTTCACTGTGCAGGGAGACACCCTCTGTCCCACTCCATGTATCCTGTCCTGACACTGTGCCTAGGGACAGCTGGGAATGGGGGGAACCACACAACACATAGGGATAGTCATGGGAAAAGAAGGGGTAAGACCCCAGGTTTCCCCACATATATTTTTGGCTTGCAGGAGCATTGGTAAAAACGGACATTTCAGAAACTGTGGTTTGACAGTAATAAAAATGTAGAAAAAAAAATAATGCAAGTGGCTGATGTAAACAAATAAGATATTATAAATAAATATGTTGTTTTCATTGCTTTGCTTTCCTCTAAGTATTTCATGCATTGCTGACCAGCTAGTGTTGTTGCTGTTTTTGATTTGTGTTGTGGAGTGATCTGTGCTAGTCTGGGAAGGGCTGCTGGAAAGCTAGATCAAATGATAACTATTGTTCACCTTTTCCTAAGTCCATCCATCATTCCAGGTATAACCTGTAGTGTTTATACCACAAGCAGGAGGTTAACCTTTCTGAAGGCAGTCACGTGGAAAACAAACAAGCAACATTAAAGTATAGTCTCCCAGATATAAGCCGTCATCTCATTACTGTTAATCATTTTTATAACTTCCTACGGCACTTCCAGTGCATAAATCCAGCTGTCAGGGATTTCATCTGTCATTTTACAGTTTATACAACAATACTGGGATATAGGTTGTACAAAGCGCAGGACAGATGAGAGTTCATAAAAAGGAAGAGTTCAGATAACCTATCATTCTAGTTTTTTGTTTGTTTGTTTGTTTTTTTTAGCAAAGTTGATTGTGGAAGACATGGCAGCCAGGGAATCAACTTTGTAAGTAGTTATTTATTAATCATCGTACTTTAGGCTGTGCAGGCTCTTGAAGTTTCCCTGTGCTCTATAAGAAATGAGCAAATTTTCCTTGCTGCAATGGGTGATCTACAGTCTCTCTAGAATATTCCTAATGTAAAATGTGAACGTTAGTGGATACTTCGTAGGACTGTAAAAGAACATTAGGGCAGGCAACAATTTTGTCACCAAGGCGATTGTTGGTACTGAGCTTCTAATAAGAAATCTTTAGAGTGACATTTTTTGTTTTTAGTTGGGAAAATTTTTGTTTCAAAAAGTTCCCAAACTTTCTGAATTGTGCACCACTCCATTTTGTGTAATATTAATCTGCTATGTGTTCATTGTGTTCTAAAAACATGAAATATATACTGCTGGGTAAATATATATTTGTGACGTTCATGGTACATTTTGGGGATCGATAAAAAGTTGCGTTGTGTTTATTTTTTAATGTGAAATGTTTTTTCTAAAAAAAAAAAAGAAAAATGGAGGAAGCCTTTGTTTCAGCTGTATATTCTTTGTATGTTAATTATCCCCTCGAAGTCTTTGTTTGATTCTCTGTGGAATTCCATGATTTTTGAAACAGAAATAAATCCCTGAACATAACATGAAATACTGATGTATGTTCATTTCCAGAAGCAGCAAGCGATGCTCTATTACTTTTTTTGTGTCTTTTCGGCTTTTACAATTAAATATTTTTAAACTAAGGAAAAATAGTTATTTTGTTTTACTGGGAAAATTGATTGATCCAGTGGATTTAAAAAGTTAAAACTAGCAATGCTCTTTTATGATGTGCTGTATAGGGAACATGCAGGTAGGGATCCCATCTACTAAGAAGTTCTGTAGTAAAGGCAGAACAAAGTAATACATACATTTTAGGAAAGTCCCATTCCCTCGTCCTCTGTCTTCCTTCCACTCTCTCCCCACCCAGGAATGATTTCCAGAGGCTGCTTTCAGACTGTACAGCAGAAAGATATTTAGGACCTACCACAGAGGATCAAGTAAAAAAACTCTTCATGCCTAAAGCTTCTTTGTTATAAAAGAGTTTCAGGGAAAAAGTAGCCAAACTCTAGGTGTAGGTGTACCGTCATGTGACGTCAGAAGGTGGTTCCACCAGGCTTCTTTTCCCCCAAATCGTCTATTTCGTTTATTTGCTCTTGTTCTGACTTTGTTTTGTCTGTGTCAGCAGGTTTGAGGCCTCTTTGCATTGTATTGTGGGCTGGAGGAAGACAAGATGATCTGCATCCACAGCTAAGATGCCTCACTATTATCTATTTTATGTTTGATAAGCCTGGCTCAGGGTCACTTGGGGGTGATCACTGATAATCTGATCACCAATCGGTCAGTGTCACATCTCCTTTTGTAAAGAGAACGAAAGGCAGCAAACAGGATGCAAAAATCACTTTACTACGACAACTCGGGTCCCTTTACAGGCTGTGGCTTCCAAGAGACCAATGGCATGAGCTACTCTGGTCGCCCAACCTATGCCACTGAAAATGAATATGAATCTTCTTACTGCCTTCAGCCAGAAACCACCTCCAGTTCCAGCGGAAATAAAGACGAGCTCCCTATCAAGGGCATTAACTTTCACTTGCCCGATGCCCCAGAACAAGCCCAGCAGCCCAAGTCACCAACTTCAACTTCCCCTGCCCCAAAATCAGCGACGACCCAGAGTTGCCCATCCAAGGCGAGCAATGGATCAGAGTCTGATGATGTCACTTGCACTAAGAAAAGCAGCAAGAGCAACAACTTACCCAAACAGATCTTTCCCTGGATGAAAGAAACCCGTCAGAACTCGAAGCAGAAGAAACAAGCCCCTCCCCCAGCAGGTAAATGCACCGAGCCCCCATCCATCCCTCCTCTTCCTCCTGTATGTCTACCTGTGCTATGTGCACTGAGCTCCTATACATCTACCTGTGACATGTGTACTGAGCCCCCATCCATCCCTCCTCTTCCTCCTATATGTCTACCTGTGCTATGTGCACTGAGCTCCTATACATGTACCTGTGACATGTGTCCAGAGCCCCCATCCATCCCTCCTCTTCCTCCTGTATGTCTACCTGTGCTATGTGCACTGAGCTCCTATACATCTACCTGTGACATGTGTACTGAGCCCCTATCCATCCCTCCTCTTCATCCTGTATGTCTACCTGTGCTATGTATACTGAGCTCCTACACATCTACCTGTGACATGTGTACTGAGCCCCCATCCATCCCTTCTCTTTCTATGTCTTCCTGTGCTATGTGCACTGAGCTCATATATAACCTGTGACATGTGTACAGAGCCCCTATCCATCCCACCTCTTCCTCCTGTGTGTATACCTGTGCTATGTGCACTGAGCTCATATACATATATCTGCGACATGTGTACTGAGCCCCCATCCATCCCTCCTCTTCCTCCTGTATTTCTAACTGTGCTTTGCGCACTGATCTCATATACAGCTACCTGTGACATGTGTACTGAGCCCCTATCCATCCCTCCTCTTCATCCTGTATGTCTACCTGTGCTATGTATACTGAGCTGCTACACATCTACCTGTGACATGTGTACTGAGCCCCCATCCATCCCTCCTCTTTCTATGTCTTCCTGTGCTATGTGCACTGAGCTCATATATAACCTGCGACATGTGTACAGAGCCCCTATCCATCCCACCTCTTCCTATGTCTACCTGTGCTATGTGCACTGAGCTCCTATACATCTACCTGTGACATGTGTACTGAACCCCCATACATCCCTCCTCTTCCTATGTGTACCTGTGTTATATGCACTGAGCCCCTAGCCACTTCCCCCTTTTCCTATACAAATGTGTACTGAGCCCCCATCCACCCCTCCTCCTCCTTTACATCTACCTGTGTTATGAGCACTGAGCACCTATCCACTTCCGCTTCTTTCTATACCTCTACTTGTGAAATAAGCACTGAGACCGACATCCACCCCTCCTGTTCCTTTACCTCTACCTGTGATATGTTCACTGAGCCTTCATTCACCTAACCCTTCCTCTACCCACATCTACTTGTGATATGAGCACTGAGCCCCCCATCCACCGCTTCTTCTATATGTCTACCTGTGATATATGTGCACTGCACCCCCCATCCACCCCTTCTCCTCCTATATGTCTACCTGTGATATATGTGCACTGGGTCCCCATCTAACTGTCCCTCTTCTTATAGGTCTACCTGTGATATGTGAGCTCTGAGGCCCCCATCTATCTCTTCCCTTCCTATAGGTCTTCCTGTGGTATATGTGCATTGAGCCCCCCATCTATCTCTTCCTTTCCTATATGTCTACCTGTGATATGTGCATTATGCCCTAATCCACCCCTTCTCCTCCTATATGTCTACCTGTGATATGTGCATTAAGCCCTAATCCACCCCTTCTCCTCCTATATGTCTACCTGTGATATTTGCACTGAGCCCTAATCCAGCCCTTCTCCTCCTATATGTCTACCTGTGATATGTGCACTGAGCCCCCTAGTCACCCCTTCCCCTCCTGTATGTCTACCTGTGATATATGTGCACTGAGCCCTAATCCACACCTTCTCCTCCTATATGTCTACCTGTGATATATGTGCATTGAGCCCCCCAATCCACCCCTTCTCCTCCTATATGTCTACCTGTGATATGTGCACTGAGCCCCCCTAGTCACCCCTTCTCCTCCTGTATGTCTACCTGTGATATATGTGCACTGAGCCCCCCCCCCCCTTCACCCCTTCTCCTCCTATATGTCTACCTGTGGTATATATGCACTGAGGGCCCATCCACCCCTTCTCCTTCTATATGTCTACCTGTGGTATATATGCACTGAGGGCCCATCCACCCCTTCTCCTTCTATTTCACCTGCAAACACTGCAACTAACACAAATAAATGTAATTGTGTGACTGAGGGTCACAAGGTACAACTTGAGGGAAGGCGAGGAAAGGGGATTGGCTTATACTGCATTTCCTAAAAAGCATCACTGAAGTGTATTTACTTAAACATTATCCCTGTTAATTCCAAATTAAAGCAACTAGATATGGGGGAGGGGGACAATAGAATTAACATTGCTAATATAAAATATGTATTTGTGTGTATATGTATGCTGATGTTAAACTATATGTTTATGTTTGTTGCATAGCAACTTCTTCTTATATACTTATGTGTACTTGAGAAAGGAAAAGGTGAAAGAACAGTGTTCGAATAGGAAACGTTTTCGTTGCCTATAGTAACTAAACAGTTTCATATCTAACTCTGGACTGCAGAAATGGAAGGCAGAAGGTGATTGGTTGTTAGTGGATGATGTTATTATAGCACTCTTTTCATACATCGGTTTTTGACTTGCTGTAACACACATCGGTTGTGATGTGAATATTATCATCATGATTACATTTATGAAAACATCTACAAAATCAGCAGAGTTGCCATGACATAATTTTTACTTTCCAGCCTGAAATTGTTTTCCAGTATAATGTGCAATGTGACAAACACTGACCCTTTCACCAAAACAAGTGTCTGCCTATGAATCAGAGCATCAGGGTTACCCTTCCCTAGCCCATGCTTCATTTATTACTGATGCAAAGGATAAACTATGTTTCTGATCTCCTCTCCGATGTCCCACTGGGGCTCTGATAAGTTCACTGTCACTGTCATCACTACACATGTGATTTCCAGAGCAAAAATACTTGACATAAAAGATATAAAAGAGGTAAATGATAAAACAAATGTAACAATTCTTTAGCTTTTTAGAAGAACTATACGCTTTTTGGGGAAAAGACACTAGATTTCACTGTGCACAGCACACAACAAAGTAAACTTATCAATGTGAGTATAGAAATGGAGGATAAGAGAGCAATAGCTTCCAGACATAATCATAATTGTGACTATGTGATGGAGGACGTTCTGTCTTCACAGAGACAGATTTACTAAAAAAGTCATTTTCACACCAGCTTGTTCTGCCTTCATCAACATCGGATTCAAGGAACATTCAGTTACTTTTTCGTTCCTCCCAGTAAAAAACTCCCTTTCATTATAAATGAGGCCCATCGGATTATTTCTACTAGCCATACACATGATGATAAATGTTAGACCGATCACAGATTAGAGCATTTAAAACAATCTGTAACTTAAATGCAAAGGAAGAAATCAATGTGACTGTATATATATCTCAATATATCGATATATATCTAGATATATCTATCGATATATATATCTAGATATATCGATAGATATATCTAGATATATATCTATCGATATATATATATATCTTTTTTTTGTTTTACTAGGATCGATGGTACATTTAAAAAAAAATAAAATTATTATTTGTTGCTTAAGCTGTACATTTTTTTAAAGATAGAATCTGGGATTTTTAAAGAAAGATTTGTGTATCTTAGAGCTTGCAGTTTAGGATTTGAAGACATGGGGATGGGGAAGTTGTATGCTTTTATGTTGAAATGGTTTTGGACCATTGTTCAAAAAGTGTAAAGTGATCCATGTTATGATTTGTGTTTCAGAAGAAGAGAGCTCATTGGACACTAGTTTTCTTAGCTCTGCATCCAAGAGGGCCAGGACGGCCTACACCAACTCCCAGCTGGTAGAACTGGAGAAGGAATTCCATTTCAATCGCTATCTGTGCCGCCCTAGGAGGCTGGAGATGGCCAAACTACTGAACTTATCTGAGAGACAAATCAAGATCTGGTTCCAGAACAGGAGGATGAAGTACAAGAAGGACCACAAGGGGAAAGGCGGAGCTTTGTCTCCTGGGGGGCAGTCTCCCAGCAGCAGCCCATCGTTGGTCCCCTACTCCAGTGCGCTCCCCCTAGAGGACGAAAATGGCTATGACGTGCCCATGCCTAATGAGTTTAACAAGAGCCCTGGAAACATGTATGGTTTAACAGCCTACTCAGCACCTCTCTTTGACAACCCTCCAGCCCAGAAACGATATGGGACCCAGTCCCTAGGCTCTGAGTATGACCACCCTTCTCTGCATGGCGATATAGTCTATGACAGCAATGGTCTACAGGGAAGCCAGAGCTACCTTGGAGGGAGTTACCTGGAAAATGTGCCTGGGAATTGCTCCATGTTCAATATGCCCCATCCTTCATCAGATAGCATGGACTACAGCTGTGCAGCACAGACACCCAGCAAACACCATCTCGGGCCGTGTGACCCTCATCCCACCTACACAGACTTAAACATTCATCCTGTGCCTCAGGGGTGTTCCCAAGAGCCTCCTGTGCTGACACATCTGTAGAATGCTCTACTCTTTGAAACATAAGGGCAATTTAGCCTGGCCCATTATGTCATTAAGTAGGGGAAAAAAACTATACATATAAACCCACCAACATGCCTCAGCTTCCTACATCTCATATGTATTTACTAAGCTATGCACAATACAGGGACTATGCATGGAGTGCAGACAATGCCACATAAGCAACCAATTAGTCTAAACTCTCCCTTACCCCCCCTATAGTATAAACTGTTAAGCCTGGACATAAATACCAGGGAATATGAAATCACACAGAAACAGAAAAAAACAAAAACAGTTTTAGAGGACTATCCGAATCGTTCTTACACAGCCCATCCTGAAATTTAGTTCGATTTTAATCTGTATTTATGTAAATCCAGTTTTTTGTAATTTCTCAATCTTTTTTAGTAGAAACAAACAAAAAAAAAGGAAACCTATATTTATATGCGTTGGCGTTAATCCTGTTTAAATATTTTTTTTATATATATTTTTGTTAGTTTATTTTATATTTGTCAAGTGTCTCGTTTAATTTATTTGTTAGGGATTTAAAGACGGATTTAGATTTTTATTTCGTTTCATTGAAATTTGCTCTGTCTCTCAGAGCGACTTGTCTCAGTCTGTCTGTATTTTTAGTAGCTTTTGAAGGAACCGTTTGATAAATAAAGAGTATTAAAACCTATTTGCATGATTATTATCGGGGACATTTTAAAGCAAGATTCTGAAAGTTACCTTAAAAAAAGGGGGGATTTTGGAAGTTAGTGTGTTTGGTTGTGTGTGTGGTTTTGTTTTTTTTTTTCTTGCTAGGGGTTGGATTTCACCCCTAATTCACCCCCATTAATCATCTAGACAGGGACAGTTCACATGGCCCCCTAAAGCCCTTTTCATGTTAAGTTAGTATTCAGCTTTGGTACAATCTTGCTTGATCTGTTCCTGCAGTGTTTCCTGATAAACTTCAATATTCCGGATCTCAGGTTTGACTTCTCCAAGCCTTCTACCCCTGATTTTATTTTAGACGTTTGTCTAGGAAATATCTTCCTGAGAAGAGGAGTGATTCTACAAGCAGATCCTCAGCGCTTACTTCTGGAGCTCCACTCCAGCGCTCTATGGCTGGGTCGTGTATACCACAGGAGCTGGATTGTTACTATGTAACTGTTCAAGTTGTTACATACTTTTGGCTTCTCTAACTATGAAGCATTTTTATATTGAAATGTATCAAACTGTGGGGACGATTATTCTCTGACCTACTGAACGTAATCCTCTTAAAATCACAGAAAGGAATATAACAGTTTATTGTACTATTATTGTATGTTTTAGATCATAGAAGAGGATGGAAAGATCTATCAATCTGACTTCAATGATGGTAATAATAATAATAATATTTTAATGATGATGGATATTATGATTATTTACTATATGTGAATAAAACTTGCAGAGACCTCTACCTCCTGCTACATGCTACTCTTGTGTGAGTGTAGTTCCCTTGCTGATGCTCTAGTTTGCTGCATAAGTAGAAGGTGCATATGACCCAGTGATACAGTTTTTTAGATATATTTTTTTTATTCATGACTACACAGAAATGAGGGCTTTTTTTTTATTTTTCCTTACAAAAATGTCTGTTTTGCTTCCAATTTAGGCTGCCGTCAGTGCTAATGGTAAATTACTGTTCCAAAACCGAGATGAAATTGTAGCTCTCAGCTAACTCAATTTTCCTGGGAGGAACAGAAGGCCAGAGTCTGTCTCCATGTGGCTGAGATTCCATGATTCCTCTTTGCTGCTCCAACAGTCCCGGGGCTCACAATAACACCCACACAAGGATCCTGACAGTGCTGAGGCAGGCGGCTCTTCTACTGAGATCCCAGTCAAATATGATCCGGGTCATACAAGTGAAAGCAACAGCAGGACATCTTCATGTGAATGATTAGCTGTATCAACACTTATCTACCACTCATGTTATCTACCGCAATAGGACCGAGTCATTCAAACTGGTGAATAAACGACAGTAGAAGAATTGCCTGTAGCAACCGACTAGCATTCCTGCTTGATGTTTACACAAAGGAACCCTTTGAGTCCTCTTAGTTGCTATTGGCAACAACTCTACTCTTCCTTATGTTTTCTTTTCACCAGTTTTAATTAGACTAAATAAGTAATGGCAACACTCTGCGCCAACCTAATTATCTATCTCTATCTATTTATCTATCAGTCTATCTATCTATCTATCTATCTATCTATCTATCTATCTATCGATTTATCTATCTATCTCTCCTGCTTTAAAATATCTATTCGTCTATCTATCTATCTATCTATCTATCTATCTATCTATCTATCTATCTATCTACCGTATCTATCTATCTCTCTTTCTCTCTATCTATCTATCTATTTATCTATCTATCGGCCACAAAGAAAATAAAGAAATGGCCCCATGGGATTATCGCCTCTGCCACTCTTAGTATACACTTAATAATGTATTTTATAAAATTATTATTGTTTAGTCAATGCTTGGTATTAAGGCAGGGGTGGTCAACTATGGCCCTCCAGCTGCGGAACTACAAGTCCCATGAGTACACATTCCAACATTCCGAGAGAAACAATTTATTCTGGAAAGGTTTACTTTGCTTTATCTAGCAGAGTAAACCTTTCCTGGATACCTGGTGGTCCTACTCCCCTGCTATCTGCTTTTTTATTTTATTTTGACAGTGGCTGCTGGCCCATCACAGTAAAAAAGCAACATATAGCATGGGAATGAATAGCTAGGCTGCTATTGGCTATTTCAATTTGCAATAGCTAATAGCAGACTGGCTATTGCACCCGCCCACTGCTGCTGCCAATCAGCAGAGGTGGACCTGAAGTTCTCCTATTGCAAATTGAAATAGTCAATAGCAGACTAGCTTTTCATGTCCATGCTATTTGTTGTTTTACTTATTTTATTTTATTTATCTATCTATCTATCTATCTATCTATCTATCTATCTATCTATCTATCTATCTATCTATCTCTCCATCTATCTATCTCTCCATCTATCTATCTATCTATCTATCTATCTATCTATCTATCTATCTATCTATCTATCTATCTATCTTTTATCTGCTTACTTCTACTCTGCCTTTATTTGTAAGATGCTGGTGGAAACACATCTCTCCAGAAATACTAATGGACTACAGATCTCCACTTATTGCTAACAATCTATATCAATGTTGCCTGTAGTCACTGCATGATTGTGGCAAATTGGAGGCTTTCAAATCAGTTTTCAGCTACAGTTGTTTCCTACTTTCCAGTCACCAAAAGCTCAAAATTAGGAAAATATCAACACCACAGTGCTTCTCCATTTCCCAATGTTTGATTGTTTGGTTTCTTTAAAGGAGAACTATGGGGTCAGTGTTTTTCCCCATAGTTCTCCTTAGGGTAACGGGAGGACACAAACTAGCGTCCTCCCGTTACCCTAAGCTCAGTATACCGCGAGCTACAGCTCGCGGTATACTGAGACGCCGCAGCTGAAGCGGATCCCGACGTAGATGACGGGATCCACCCAGCTGCGTGAGTGACAGCTGGCTCTGCCTATCTAGAGGCAGAGCCAGCTGTACCCGCCCCCTCCCCCGTCCGTTCCGCCAGTCAGCGCTGGCAGATCGGAGCGGGGAGAGGGGAATCCAGCCCCTCCCCTGTCACGGCAGAGAGCCGTGACAGGATCGAGAGGTGAGCGAACCTGGTATGTGTTCGCTCACCTCCCGATCTACTGAGCCGACCTGTGACAGTCTCATTGTCACAGGTCGGCTAGAACTATGAGGTGAGTGGAAATCACTCATCTCATAGTTCTCCTTTAAGCATAAAATATTTGTGGTTGAAATCTTATGAAAAGAAGCACAATTATCCTGTGTGTGTCCTGCAGTTGGAAGTTGGGAGGTAGGCAGTTCATTAAACCTGCACTAAAGGCTCTGGGATTGCTGTGTAATGTGACTTCAGTGGGAAGACTTTGTGTATGTTAAGATTGCCATACACCGGTAGATTCTGTATGAACGCTCATATGAAAAATCATGTTAGAAAATTCCATAATGCCATCAGAGACTTGACGAATGTCATTCCAAATTTCCTTTGATATTAATACTGGATATGATTTTGGAATGAATGGAGTTTCCTGAATAAACAGCACATTCATTATTAGAATTTTGTTTGTTCAATATAAAAATTGTCATCCTGATCCTTCAGTATTTTTTGGTCCCATTAATTATTACAAAATTGGAAAAAGTGAAGGCAAACCAACATTTTACAACTGAGACCAACACAGGAAGTGGGGGAAACCATCCAATAGGGACGTTTACTCTGGTGACAACTGTGTAAGACTGGAATTCTCCTCACTTTGGAGATATTTCCTCTCACATCTCTCATGACAGGAAGTGCAGGGAAATATTTTCAATTAAACAAGGGCCGCTGAAAATAAATGGACAAAGATTTTATCCCTTCCTAACCCTATTATCTAAACACACAATTTATGACTGGGGTGATGTTTCCTGTGCTAACAGTTTCTGGCAAACAGAAAGCGATTCTCTATATCAGAGGTGTCAAACTCAAATACACAGTGGGCCAAAATTAAAAAAAATGCTCCAGATCGAGGGCCGGGTTGGTTCACACAGTATAATACTGTGGTCTATACAGTATAACACACAGTATAATACAGCGGCATATCCAGTATATCACATGGAATAATAACAAAGCCTGTACATTTCATTATTTTAAAAGCATGATACATAATGACAATAAAACATTTTTATTTACTTTCCCTTTAAGAAATACCCTAAATATTTGAATAATAAAAGCCAAAAACAGACATTAAATAGTACAGTCCATTTACAACAACAGAATTTACTTACAAAAAAAGTTTTCCATCTGGTGCCCGCTTCTGTGGATTCTTCCCCTGCTTTCTCTCCTCAATGCGCAGGCCCCATAAACTCTTCATCCCTGCTCTGAGGTCTGGCAAAGCAGGGACAGCCGTGTGCATTTCCTACAGAAGCCGCAGGGCACTTCCAGCTTTAAAGATGGCCACCGATCGGCGGCCATCTTTATGACACAGGAATGATGCGGCAGGCCCGCGCTGCATCATTTCTGTGTCATAAAGTGATAGTTCAAGCCGTGATTTGTCATAATTGTGATGATTATGGCTTACAGCTCATGAAAACCCCAAGAACCCCAAATCCACAACCTCAAAAAAGTAGATTATTACATGCAATCAATAAAACAAAGATTGTACATAGAACAATATCGGACCT